AATTAATTTATATTGCTATGATTTATATCAGAAATTTTATATAAACCAGAAACAAGTCTGGAAGCTATAAATAATCCTCACTAATTTTACAAACTTGTAAAGCCCTAATGTTGTAGTTTTTACAAAAACCGCTGCAACATTAAACATTTTCATTTATGTAAGACTAGTAAACGTATACATATGAACATTGATATCCAATAACTACAGTAAAAAATTATACATTGTACTAATTTTAATGAAATTATAATGATTAGGTTTTACTGACATAAAATTATAGTTTTGTATAGAATAATTGCAATATTCTGGTTCTTCTTGTACTTTTTTAAATTACAAATCTATTCCCACTTTGAATTTCTTAAAGTCTTGCGACATCTTATGGCCAGGGATCTAACTGGAATAAATATTAAATGTAATCTGTCGTGCTTTCGCCTATTTAATATTTGAGGTGCAGACATTCTATAAACAGACGCTAGATAACGCTAACTGTACATTAAAGAATTTTATAAGGACCTCGTATTTTAAAATGATTTTATTAATTCCATGAGTGCATTAATAAATTGTGTACAAATTACTTCTTAAAAAGAGGTAACGAAGAAATAATTATTGTTTAGTGTAGAAATAGTTTTTTGAGTTTTCTTTACTTGCTATAAATTCCAAAAATCCCATCAAAACGTAAAAGATTCTGATTAAATAATTTAACAAACACATTGTTACCTACCATTATTTTAGAAATTTATTGAATTATTCCTTTTATTACAAACATTTGCGAAAAAATGCATCGCTATTTTACTTTTGAGTTCCAAGATCAAGTTTACACATTAAGTTTTATTATTTCTATGACAACAAAATTTATTATTATTGACGTAAATCTAAATTTGTGTGTAACGTTTTTTTTTGTGTATTTTAAATTTGTGTTACAAATATTCCAATTTTTAAAAATTGTGTGTGTATTAACAAGTGGAAAAAATGGCGCCGAATAGTAGTAGAAGGCAGTCGTTGTTGGCTCATTTGAAAAATTTAGTGAACGAAATCGACGATAAGGGCTGCTGTTTGCCAGGCGGACCATGCTGCCCACCAGGACCATGCTGTCCTCCGTGCGTAACAGGCCCCGTTATAGAAATCTACGATCCTTTACCAAAACCTTGTTTGCCTATTTGCAGCCCATGTGGTGCTCCTTGCTGCCCACCTGCATGCCCTCCTTGTTGTCCACCTCCATGCCCTCCTTGTTGTCCACCTTGCTGTCCGCCAAGCTGCCCTCCGCCAGGATGTCCCATGCCTTGTCCACCACCCCCTCCGCCACCTTGTGGTGTGCCAATATGTAGCCCAAATTGTTGTCCACCGACGGTTGCAATACCTCCAGTTTTACCAATTTGCCAACCGACTCCGACCCCGTGTGTTCCGGTGGCGGATCCGAGCAAGCAAAAACAACCCTGCGTCCCATGTAATCCACCTCAGTTGATGGTCTGTTATCGACGGCCGAAATGCGGTGGATTGGCGAGATGTAAATCGCGAGAATTAAGAGGTGGCATTTTGCACATGGGCTGTGACTGTTGCAAACGTAACGGACTTCAAGATGACTGTCTGAGAAGGGAATGTTTCGGCGCCCCCAAGTGCTTAACTAAACCCGATCCTACCTGTTGTCCGAGTCAGTTTTGCGGGGGAAAGCATTTGGGAAGAAAGAAATGCGGAGGCGGAAATGGCCTGGAAGAATATCAATGTTATCCTGCTTACGTCAGGATGCCTGGCACTGTGCCATGCCCTCCACCGGTTTGTCCTTGTGGACCATGTGGACCTTGCGGGCCTTGTGGTCCATGTGGACCTTGTGGTCCATGTAATCCCTGTCCTTCACCGTGTGGTCCTTGTGGCCCGTGTGGCCCTTCGCCCCCTTGTTGCCCGCCATCCTGTGTGCCTTTATTGGCTGCTCCACCATGTCCTCCTCCTATTTGTCCCGGTCCACCTCCATTGAAACCATTGGGTGCTATTTGTCCTGTTGCTCCTCTGCAACCCTTGAATTGCCCTCCGTGTTGTGCAATGCCTCCTATCGTACCCTGCCCTTGTTAAAAACACCGAGTATTATATTTGTATGGAAAATGTATGTTGTGTATGTCCGTGTGGTGTTCATAAAAAATAATAAAGATTATTTTATCACAAATGATATTTAATTTTCGAATTTGATTTATCGTGGATTTGGTCTTGGAACATACGTAAAAAAAATAAGCTTAGAATCATCTTGATAATTTCACCACTTTACATAACTTCTTATCAATATTTAATCAAAATAAGTCAGGAAAAATAAATATAAGAAACCAAAATATTAGCTTTCTGCAAATTTTAGTGTTTTGTGATTGTTGGCAATGCATTTAAAAATGTATCTCTTTTTACTTAAAATCGACATAGGTATTTATATAAAATCAACGAATCACTCGGTACACAGTTCTCAGAAAACAAAAAAAGAACGTTGTTTCTTAAAGTTATTTCACTGACCATTCGTGGGTCTCGATTGCGATAGGTACGACGTGTGTATCGTTTGGTGGTAGTGGTGGTGTTTCAAATTCCTAGACCTGTCACCACATATCACTGTTGTACCGCGAGTCAGATAAAGAAGAAATGTGCGTGTACTATTGAATTTACCATCTTTGGAAAACGTTATGCTGCAACGGTTAAACGGTAAAGCAAAATGCCAGGATTTTTTCCTTTTACCACCTGTGTAACAGACACGCTTTGTACACTGCACAGTTTGTATCGTCGCCGTAGCAATGCTAACTATCGTAGGGTTACGAAATTCCAATTGGTTATTGCAAGCGGCTTTTCGAAATATCGAAAATATTTTAAATAGCATTATAATAAGGAGCATGTTGGACACTACTTTTTTTAATATAGCTCGATTGGTATGCATTTGTGTCTTCTGTCTTAGAGGGGCTGAGCTGTTAGAGATGTTTTTGGACCAGGCTGAGCTCAAAAAAACAACAATTTAATTTTCGACTAATTTTAGGTTTTCGTTTACTCTTCAAGGTGTATGTGATCGCAAAAAGATTGATTTTTTTTACAAATTTCGAATGAAAAAGAGGGAGTCACTGATCTTCGATATTTAGAGAGTCACATGACTTAATAGAGATATAGAACGTGGAGTAGTGCAGGGTCGAGTCACTTTTAACAAAATTAATTACTTTTGTGCTCGAAATCGGTTAATTTAAAATTCGAAAAGGATTTATTAAAGGTGAATGTTTGCTATGGGGGTAAAAAGGAGACAGTGGGTCTTTGAGATGTGGTGTTAAAAATACCGTGGATAAAAAAAGATTAGAAATGAGGAGGTAATAGAAAGAGTAGGAGAGCAGAGGGCGTTTTGAAAATCAGTTAGAAATAGGCACAATAGATTGATAGAAGATCTCTCTAGATACATAAAGGGGTAGTTAGAAATGAAGAGTGGTAGAGGTAGATCTAGATTTCGGTTCCAAACAGTCTTCTTATTATGACTTAATATACTTTCCGAAAAATAAGTTGATTAAACACTCTTCAAAGATTATTTATGGAATTTCGAAATAGGAAAAAAGTAAAAAATCATTTATTTGGATGTTACTACATGAAAAATTATTAGACTTTTTAAACTTCAGCTTGAAACAATGCTCAACGCTTATGAGCGACCTAACTTCAAGTATTTGAAATTCATTACCGACCTCTAAAAAGGATTTAATTTTGCTAATTTTCAGAGAGTATCCTTAAATCATAGTAACGAAAAAACTTTCGTGCGAGACCTATAAAAAATAGTCGGCTTTTTTTGCCAGTCCAATGTATGTAACCCATAAATTTTATTAGATTTTAACAAAGAGAATAAGTATAGGCAACTTTGTTTCAAACTAAAATATACATCATCATCATCATACGGTCTTCATTACTAAGGCTGGTTGGACACGCACTTCCACGTTTCCTACCCTGGACTAATCTTTGTATTTTCCTAAATATAACATCCCACATTCTTAACTATTTGTGAAAAGTAATCTAGTTCAGGTCTACATCTAGTCCTCTTGACTCCTGGTTCTGCTTCTAATATGTCTCTAACTAGCTCTCTATGCCTGAAAAGATGTCCTACCGACCTATCTCGCCTATTTCTTATTGACTTCTATAGCGACCTCTGTTCACTTCTCCTACTCTTTCTAATATCTCCTCATTTTTAACCTTCCCTATCCACCGTACCCTCATCATTTCGAACGCCCACCGTTCATGTTTCGCACTATTTCAATTTGTTAGAATTGTGACCTTGAAGAAATCTGCGCGAAGATAGAAAGAATACACACTAGGCGTGAGCAAGACAGAAATAGTTGGAACAAGCTTGAACTAGCAGAGCTCTCTATGGGCGGTCTTAGGAGATCGACTAGAACTGTACAGTATTAGACGAAAATGTTTACCAATTTCTTAAAACAAAAATGTATATAAATTAACAATAGAAAACAAAGCAAAAGTTTTATAGGTGTATAGAACGTTAAGTTAATTCACTTGTTATTATTTTTGGTTAAATTTTAACGAAGCAGTTTAAAAAATTTTGCAAATGGTACTGCACACTTTTGTCTAGTTCTCGCTCGATGATCGGTGGAGAAATGAGCTCCACAGACAAATTTGATTGAATTTGGAATTATGCTACGGCGCATCCTGATAAAGGGAAGGGGCATATCTCCAACTTCTTGAAACGAACAGTACATCTTTAGCAATGTTATTCGAATTTCTAAAGTAACCGTCGCGAGCACAAAATATTATATAAAATAATTTCACACATAATCCTGCGGAACAATTCATTGTTGATGTCAGTCAATGGCATTGTCACTTTATTCATCATTTGCATGTCTATGTAATCTTTTAATCACCTGGTAACAAAAATTCATTTAGATGCACCCATACATTTGTTATTGTTTTCTTTATGTCTCTTGTCAAATGGTTAGACATATTCTCCGTTTTTTTGCTAGTCGCGTAAGTATAAACTTTTTTTTTATTGGACAAGCCATAAACTGCGAGCTCACGTTAAGATTTAGTTGCTGCCGAGTTACCATCGTAAAGTTAAAGTGATTTATACAAAGAGCCGTTTTGTCGTCGGTCTGATATGGCCGCGATGTATGTGAGCACTTTCTTCTTGGTTACCCTTATAAAAATTGAAAATCTCTTCCAGTTTGTTCAAGTGGGAAATGTCCTGTGTGGCTAACTTAGTATTTACAACTTTAGATATGTAGGTATGGAATGAATTCTGCGACCACAGTTACATGGAATAACAAATGTCCGGGTTTATCTGATACATTTGGAAACGATCGCGGTTTTCACGTCACTTGTACCCGGTCAGTAGCGGCGGAAGACATGTTGACTGTGTTGACCAATCAACACCCAAGCACTACAAACCGAAACCGAAACCGAATTTCGGCAACGGTCTTAGTTTCGGCCGAAACCGAGACCGAAACCGAAACTTCCTTATAAGGATCATGTTTTGAGAGAAAAATAAAGAAAACGTTATTATAATCAGTCAGTTTTATTTTTTTATCTTTAAATCACATAGCTCTGCAGTCTTTGACATTTTTACTAATTGATAATCAAATCAAAATCAACATAACAACCCCTCATTTAAGGAAATACTTTAATTGCGCCTTAAAAATACTTAAAATAGGTAAGATGTTTATTTGAGTAAGTATAGTAGACTAGACTCATTTTTCTTTTGAAGATTATTCATGCTTTTTTTATATAATATTAAACATAAAATTACTTTTGTTATTGTTCGCTTGGATGGAATTTAACGCGCCGAACATGACCGAGCAGAGCGCGAGAACTCCCGAACGCAGTTTCGCTTTCGGTCGTAGTTTCGGCAGGTTTGCCGCCGAAACCGAAACTCGTTTTTTGCCGAAACTCGACCGAAACCGAAACCGAAACCGAACTTTCGGTCGGACACTACTACAATGTGTTGAAAATCAACACATAAGAAATCAAGTATTTTCGTGAAATCCTACAAAAGGCGGAGTAAATATCATAGTAGTACAATGCTACATTTAGTGAAATATGCTCAATAAGGCCCATTTACTGACTGAGTGGCATGACCTAGAGGTTGAGACCATTGCTTAGCATTTGGGAGGACGCTGGTTAGTTTCCGGGTCTATTTGCCTTGGTCCAAGTTTTTCTGTGGTTTCCTTGGATTACTTAGGCAAATGCTGGGGCAGTGATATTCCACAGAAAATCATTCATTCTCTTCTGTCTTCATTTCGTCCGTCTCATCTTTCTCACCCGAACCACCACCAACCTATTCCCACGACTCCTGAAAGGAGGCTGAAGAGGGCCTTCCGCTCTACCTTGCGGCGTAGTCCGGAGGGAATGAGGGCTGGTGGGAATGAAATACCCAAGGTTTTTTTTCTATTTGCTGAACTGAATCTACGGCGTAAGCTTACTACACGTGAGAGGCTCGTTATCAAAATCAAACAAAGAAGTTGATGGTTATAAATGTAAGGTTTGGATGTACATCTTTAATTTTTTGATGAAATTCACAGGGTAGGGATGTTGAAGGGTTATAAATTTAATTTAGTAAGATCCCTACATTTTTCTGTTTTCGACTAATTTTATAGAAAAAGTCAAGCTCGGTCTTGTATTAGTATTGTGTTTACGTGTGTTCGTGTTTTAGACAGTATCATGAAGATAAGTTTTTGGAGAGTCCTTAGGCCGCTAGGAACTTAGTATTGTTTTTACTAACGAAATGAACTCACTTGTACTTGCGAGAAGTCTCTTTTCTAGAAATAATTAACGTTAACCAAAACCGGTGTTAATTCGAGCTAAATAAATTGACATGATACGTAATAAATCGTCATTTTCACCGTGAAAGAATTGCAGAAGGAACATTAAAAAAAAGTTGACCACGTTTACTTAAATTACACGGTGGTGTGGTGTGTTTCGTGTACAAAACGTGGCCGGTGATCAAATTAATGTAACAAGTTGTTCTCGATGTGAAATAGCAGAATTTCAGTGTGTCGACGCGCGTATGAACGACGGATCGACAAGGAATATGTTTAAAAAAAAAACACAGGCAGGTGTTTCTTTAGGAAATAATACCGCTAGTAAGTACACAGCAGGTGAACTAAGCTGACCATTCTCTTGTAAGAATACGCACGTTATAAAAATTAATTAAAAAGGCAGATG